CATGAAGTATCACACATTCAGGCAAGGTCCGGGGAAGGACTGCATCGTAAGCAAGTGTGATGTAGGCAACTTATTCTTAAGCAAGAGTCAGTGACTGATTCCACGGCTCAAACCTGTTACCTATACCTATAGTTCAATACGAAGATAACTCTATCGAGATAATGTGTAGACATTACTTTGATGATTTGAAGAAAAAGTCCAAAAAGAATGTTTCGAGCAATGTCTCTGAGGTTTCTCTCACTGAAAGAAGTTAAATGTATAGACATGGAAGTCAATTTGTAGTTCATCTGAACTTCAGTAAAAGACTATGCATGAGAAATTTTCGTGTAGCTTACGATCATCATAAGCCACACAATATGGTTACTTGTTTCTTGGCTCATCCACTAAAAATTACTCCATCCGTTTTAATTTAGATGAGGTAGTTTGATTCGGCACGGAGTTTAAGAGAAAAGATAGAGACTTTTGAAACTTGTGATCTTAAAACCTTAAGGGGTCGTTTGGTTGGAATATGATTTATACCGGTATAAGTTATGCCGGTATAAGTTATATTGGGATAAGTTATGCTGGGATTGTTGTTTATTCATTGTTTGGTATGTTGTATTAAGAATGACAATTGCATAATTTCTAAGAAGAAAGTATAAGTTATACCGGTGCTAATTACCCCACCTTCTACAAGGTATAAGTTATCCCAGTGTTAAAACTAACACCGGGATAACTTATACCTGGTTTGCTAACCAAACAGAGTATTAAGGTGGTATTAAATTTTTATACCACGCTTATACCTTCTTATACCTCATACCAAACAACGCCTAAGGGGTAAAAGCTTTGTGGTCCCATGACATTTGTGTGGTTATAAAAATTTCTTATTAAAGGTAAAATGAGTAAAATGTAAAGTTTAAAGTTGAATTATTTCCAATTATAGAAATGTGTCATTCTTTTTAGAATGAACTAATAAGGAAAGTGTGTCGTCTAAATTGAAACGGATGGAGTACTACTTATGTCAAAGTGCCTGACTGAGTACAAAATTCAAGAAAGAAGACTTTTGAGGAAATGAACTTTATACTGGTTCTTTGGGTCTATTCTGGACATCTTTACTTTCCAGTTTCAAGCAAATCAAATCAATTATACCTGCGCAAACTGAAAAACGACCAACTCAATTCATACCATCATAACCTGGGAATTTACGTCCAAGCCTTTTTACTCTACAGACATCCACTATGATGAAAACACTGGCGCGAGTAATTTGAATTCCCACGGAGTAGCCCCAGTAAGAGAGTAAAACACTTCCTACCAAGAGATTTTCTACTCCAAGCTTCGAACCTGAAACCTCTAAGAAAGGGTGGAGGAATTCCAACCATCCCGTCATCCCTTTGTGGTCTTTCAAAGCCCTTTAGCTATTGAATTACCTCAAACACTATAAAAGCAAAAGCATTTCTTGGATGAACGGTGGTATCGGTCGGGGCAAGCACAACACTCGTTCCCGCAGCCCTTGTTGCGGCTGATAGACTCAAAAGTAAGAGCAGCAATTCTTCTTCCAATTTCGTACATCAAATTGTGAATACAAAGAAGAGTGTCCTTCTTCAAAGAGATAAAGTCACACGGCCCCTCAAGATAGAGGCTTCAGTCATCGTTACAATCCCGGGGCGGGCCAAATTGCATAAAGAAAGGAGACTTTGCAATTGGCATAGAATCATAGACTATTAGAGGATCAATGTTTCATGAGTGGTGGCCAAGAATGTTACCATCTAATAAGTGATTGAAGCATTATCGCCCTTCACCAAAACGAACATCCCATGGACACCGCATAAGAACATATAAGTACCTAATACAACAAATAGAATGAGTTCAACGACAAAACAAAGTAATCATAACCAATGTTGGAAATGTAAATAGATATGAGCTTCGACTATATCCATATGAAAAAGACTTAAGGCTTACCATTATCTAACACTTCGGAAAGTCGTGAAGCAAATACACCTGAATATCACAAAAACCCAGCTAATCAAAAACCACATACTACAGGGTATCCATAAATACAACTTGTTAGTTCTCTCTGCAAACTTCACAAGCATTAACAAGCTAGCTGTTTGATCTAAAACAAAAACTAGCTATGAGCTTTGAGTACTGTAATGCAAATACATTTGTATTTGTTAGTTCTCCCAGGAATCTTCGCACGCATTAACAAGCTAGCTATATGATCTGAAACGAACAACAACAACAACGATAATAGTGTCAATAACTTTGAAATGATCATTAATTTCTTTCCTTGCCTCAAGTAGATAGCAATGATGTTCTCTTTCAAAAAGAAGAGCCTTTACATCCACTCATACAATTCCTCAAACAGCATCAACAGAGCTCGAGTACTACCTCACTGTAATAGATCAAAATTTGATCAACTACATAAGACAACCCACATAATGAGCTCGAGGATATTTCTCTTTTAGTTGTGGCCATTGCACAAATAACTGATCAGCCATGCGTAGCTTGTAAAGAAGCAAACCACTCAAAGACAGCTTCCTGACTCTTGCAATGCTCTCCACATAGAAAATTGATGACCACTTAATACCCAAAACCTGAAGCTAGCAAAGTTTCAATTAGCACCTCAAATATCACCTTGAAATTAAGAGAAGATATGGCAGAACCAATCCAATTCTGATTCTTATTGACAAAAGAATAACAGGGAAAGATTGGCAACAAACTCAAAATATGTGCAAGTTTGAGATCACGCTGAGTAGTCGAGTGCTTTCTTTTTTATTCATCGACTGTTTCTTCCTCCTTTTGTTACATTTATTCTTTTTTTACAGGGATTTGGTGAAGCCAGGAAACAAAATAAGCTCTGGAATTTTAGAGGATAAGAGTTCTCAATAACATCCTGATAATGATACGTCAAGCAAATAATTATGGACTGTTAACGAAAAGGAAAAAAAAAGGTTGAAGTCTATAGCTGCTTTCTGTTGTCTGGTACAATTGAAAACACAGGAATAGACATGACTTTAAGATCAAGCTAGTATGATTCAAATTTTTCTAAATCGGGACTTTAACAGATGTGATGCATGTAATCACTACTCCAGCATCCAACTTAACTATACAAATAAGTTAAAAGAACAAAAGATTACCCTCCAATACACAAACCTTAAAAAGGAAGGCAATTACACATAGTGGGACACAGGTTCCTGGGCCGTTGCATAGAATCTGAGACAAGGTACCAAATATATATAAATCAGAAGACAATGATAAGTATCTGAAGAGTGAAAATTTCGGTTCAAAGGGGAAGGGGAGTGGAAAGTAATATGAGAAGTTTATCTGATACCACTTGGGGTCTGATCTTGATCATTAACCACAATGCATGTGCAATTGCAATCAATGTGGTTCCGACTGAGGTTATATACGATTGACCAACCTCTCGACTTCGATATATCTGCAAGAATTCAGCTCCCCCTACTTCCTCAAGTGCTTCCTAGAATCATAGGTAACCCTATTAATAGAGACAATATAAGGAATAGAAAATCATGACCAGTTAAGGGAGAAGAGCACAGTTCTGTGGTGTTGCATATGTATGAGGAATACTCTAAACAGCTATAAGAGAATGAACACTCCTCTATACCTAAGATTGATGATCCCACCGAACATACAGAGTATGGTTTAGCTCAGAGGCAAAAAGCAAGGTACATAGATGTATGCAGACAAATTATCATGGAATCAGTGGCGGAGGCACGATTTTCACTAAGGGGTGTTAAAATATGAAGAAGTAAACAAACCAAAAGGCCAAGGGGTTCAACATATAGTATAAATACTAAATAAATAAAAATACGACTAGCCACACAGTGTAATTTTCCCCGCAAAGGGGTGCCGAATAGATTAAACTGATGTACTATACCTTACCAAGTAAGGAATCCTCAAACGTTTTTGCTTTTTGGAGACTCATATTATCAGTAGCAGCAGCAATATAATATCTCGGCTTAAACCTCTCTTTTTGAAGGACATGTAATAAATTTAGCATTTCTGCAGTGTGACCACCTACATTATAATTGAACTTTAAAAAAAATTAGAACGAGTATAAACAAAAGGCAGTAAAACAGAAAAAAGAATTGTTAGGCTTAAAATGAGACCTGAACCCAGAACAATGAGAGTACTGAGGAATCGTGGTGATTTGGAATGAAGTGGTTTGCTGCTCCTATAAATTACATAAATAATTCGTACTACAACTAAGGTGATGATACCAATAGTTAATAGAAGTGCGATATTCGATGATGCCATGACGGAGATGCAAAAATCTCCCTTCTCCATTACAAGCAGCTCTGCCCCTCAGGTGAAGATAGAGATCCTAAATGACATTTCAATCAATCAGGAAAAGTTCCAAAACACAAGCTTATAAAGGAAAACAATATACGTTTGATCAACCGTACGTACACTTCAAATTGAAACTGAAATATCGGTCCTACAAGATGAATATGATTAAATATGTTTTGCTTACCAAACTTAAGTGAAAATCTAAAGCTAGAATAGTTATGCACGATACAGGACATTCTCTAAATAATTAATGACCTTGACAGATGAAGCAATTATTAGTTACAATAGATAGTGACTATCAAAGTCCCATTACAAATTACATGCTAACATTAACTCAAATGCCAGTTTGAATAGATATTCGGATATTATAGTCATTATAGATTAATTTATTTGAGAGGTCTGAATTTAAAATCCACCGTTTCGATACAAGGGTTTGGTAAATGACTTTTTTCTTTTCATCCCAAATTCTTGTTGTGAACATTTCATATCAATCAATCAACAATTTCCTCAAAATAAAAAATAAAAATAAAAGACACTAGGGATTGGCTATATGAATCCTCTTTATCCATTATGCTAAGTTAGACTAATTTCATTCTCATATCTTTAGATAATTTGCCTTAAGTTTACTAAAGTCATTTACCACTTCACCTCAAGCTCTCAATCGCCTTCTTAGCTTCTCTCTTTCTCCTTCGTAAACTCTTCAAAGGCTTCTCCATCGTCTACTACTCCATCCGTTCCAATTTATGTGGCACCGTTTGACAAGGCACGAAGTTTAAGAAAGAAAAGAAAGACTTATGAAACTTGCTGTCTAAAATAAGCCTTGGACATTTGCGTGTTTGTAAATCATCTCATTAAGGGTAAAAGTAGAATTCAAAAGTTAAATAAATATAAAAAGGTGATATCTTTTTTGGGACAAACTAAAAAGGAAAGGGTGCCACATAAGTTGGGACATAGGGAGTATTAGTAACTCTATATACCAATTTTTTTTTGGCACCTCCGTATTCCATCACAACTTTTCTTGCGGCCGAGGTCTGACTTTTAGGAAGATAAAAACTTTACTTTTTTTTGGGATCAGCGAGAAATTCTCGAGGGGCAATAGCTGCACGGTTCAAAATCTCGATGGACAACAATCCTTACCCTCTACACTTCTCCGCTTAAATACCGGGCTTTTATCTTCCACATGATTTGAACTCATGACTTGCGCCTAAAACAATCACTTCTCTGCTTAAATACCAGGCTTTTATCTTCGACATGATTTGAACTCATGACTTGCGCCTAAAACAATCACACATTGCTCTCTTACCACTAGACCAAATCCCCGAGAAGCAAGATCAAAACTTCACTTGCTACTTCCTAATGCAACTTGTCATTCCCTTGTCCCAATTTAGCCTCTAAATTACATGCTCCCTCCTTCCATATCTGGTATTCTAAAGTTTCATTTCATATCGTCTATTCCCTTCTGTTTTTTTGGAGAAAAATATTTAGAGTAAATTGATTAATAATACTAAAATGCGGATCAGCAAATTCTTAATACCCAAAAGACAGTTAGCACACCACCAGAGCTTGAAGCCATTATCATTTAACACATTGTAAGTAAATGAAAATATAAATGCAACTTAACTTGTCAGAATAGTAGATAGCTATAAAATCATTGGAAGAAAGAACACGCACCTACAATCGGACGGCCAAAAATCAATTGAAATTCAGGACAAAATCCATCGGATTCTCAAATTTGCACCTGTGAATTCTGAAATCTGTAGTGTGCCAAATTCGGGTAAAAATTAAGCTGGGTCTTTAATTTGAAAAGGCCCAACCCTTCAGCCCAACTGGCCCAATAATTCAATTTCTGACAATTTTGGAAGGGAAAATAATTGTATAGCTGCTCTCAATATACTATTCGAAAAATGGTTACACATAAAAATATATAAATTTTATTAAACTTTTACGGTTACCAGATAAATAGTTTCAGTCGCGGGCTAAAAATGATGTTTGCCTATTTTGAAAAGGCGAATGACACAAATAGAATATTTTATATTAGTATTGATTTTTTGACTTCGATAACAAAATATTTGGAAATATAGCCTGCAAAAATTTTAAAGCACTCTTATGACTATTTTTAGAATTTCTAGGCAAATCTTGGTGATAATAGACATAAAATCCTGACATATCACCAGAATATTTTAGCATTGCGGTTGAAAATTCTAGTGACCATCTGAATTTCTAGTGCTTTAAAGTTATGATACTGGGGTATTTTTCTAAATTATCCTTAACGAGGTCAAAATATAAATGGTAGTTTTAAAGATCTATGGAGTTGAATTTAGAGTAAGCAGTTTTTAGTGGCCGTTTGGACATAAAAATTGTAAAATTCCAAAAAAAAAAAAAGTAAAAAAAAAAATTGAAGTGAAAATGGTATTTGAAAAGTAGAGTTGTGTTTGGACATGAATATAATTTTGGGTTGTTTTTATGTTTTGTGAGTGATCTGAGTGAAAATTTTGAAAAATAGCTTTTTTGGAGTTTTTTAAATTTTTGAAAAATTTCAAAATGTATATTCAAGTGAAAATTAGAAATTTTATGACAAAACGCTGATTTCGAAAAGAAGTGAAAAATTTCTTATGTCGAAATGGGCTAGGAAGTCGATTTGAAGGGTCAGCAAGGTGGCCGGCGAGGTTTTCCAATGGACCCTTTCCAGTAACGATAGCTTGAACAAAGAATCCAAACATGGAGAACATAGCAAGTCTACCATTCTTGATCTCTTTTACTTTGAGTTCAGCAAAAGCCTCTGGGTCATCAGCAAGACCCAATGGGTCAAAGCTACCACCGGGGTAGAGTGGGTTGACAACCTCACCAAGAGGCCCACCAGCAACACGGTAACCCTCAACCAGGGGCGGATTTAGGGGCGCAAGGGTGTTCGCCCGAACACTCTTCGCCGAAAAACACTGTGTATATAAAGCAAAATTTATTTTTTACCTCTATATATTAAGTTTTGAACACTCTTAACACAATCCAAAAGTGTAGTTTAGTGGTCAAGGGGTTCAAAATTTACATAAGGTCATGGGTTCAATTCCCACTAGCTACAAAAAAAATTTTGAACCCCCTTCGTGGAGATGCTGCCTTCGCCACTGCCCTCAACCGCTCCCATCAACACGACTTGGCAAGCCCAAATTGCCAAGATGCTTTGTGCGTGAACCAAACTTGGGTTGCCCAAGTAGTCAAGTCCACCCTCGCTGAAAATCTGGGATCCAGCCTTGAACCATACGGCCTCACCAAATTTAACACCATTACGTGCCAAAAGCTCGGGGAAGACACAACCAAGAGCTCCAAGCATTGCCCATCTACAGTGGATAACCTCGAGCTCATGATTTTTTGCGAAAGTTTCTGGATCAGCTGAAAGTCCGGCAGTGTCCCATCCATAATCACCGGGGAACTCACCAGTCAAGTAACTTGGGGACTCAATGGTCCCAAGTACTTGACACGATCAGGACCGTACCATGGGCTACTAGAAGAAACTGGCTTGGCCTTGGTAGCTGTCTTCCTCATGGTAACTTTCCCATTTACAGTGATTTCGGAGGAAGATGGTGAGAGTTTCACTGCCTTTCCAACAAAAGAAGTGGAAGAGAGAGCCATTGTAGCAGCTGCCATTGTATAAACAAAATGAGATACTTTAAAATGCAGCTACTACACACAGAAAGAATATTTGATGAGTTTAATGGGCTTGCACCTACTGTATATAAATGGCTCAAAAGGACCAAAGTCCTCATCCTAGAGTATCATTATCTGTTGTGTAATTGGTGAAAGGCAATTTTCTTTTTCTTTTTGTTTTTTTGTTTCATGCCCATTTGGCAAAGTTCAGCACCGTGCATATTGTTTTCTTTTAGTTAGATACAATATGTTCAAAATCCAACCAAATGAAGATTTCCTCTCTTACAGCCAACCCAAAATTGCCACGTGTAATGGTGGATTATTTGAAATATCCACTGGCCAAGATCATAAGAATAACCTCACGGCCATGCAATATTATCTTGCACAGAAAGTGAAAAAAGTGTTGGGGGAATGATGTTACACCCCATGTTTTCGTACGTAAGAGTATGTCTTAAGTCAATTGATGTAAGCTCAGAAATGAGATCATCTTTGAAAGTACATAAAGTAAGTTAATCATATTACCATGGAGGTTACAAATATTTAAGATCATGAACACCAAGTACCAAGAGGGTTGGAAGGCTTAGAAGCTAAACGAATTGAAGAAAATAAGTTTCGTCGAAAGTCGACAAGTTGGAATGTTATAACATGTACTTTTGGGGTGAGACTAGGGTTCTCAAAATGATAAGGAGGTTAGTTATGAGTTATTTTTTGTCTTATGATAGTCGTGTGTTATGTTTTGAAGTCAAGTGAGTTGTGGAACAAAAGTTGGAAAAGATCATCATAAGTTACATTCATAAATATGCTGAAATTTAGGTCAAATGTAGCTGAGCTTTTCTCCCAATATAGTTGGAATTAGAGGATGATCTACCCACCAAATTGAAGATCTACGATTCTAGTTTATAACGCATTTAACCGTTCATCGACGACATTGGAGTAAAGAGATATTCGCATTTTTGCGAGACTGCGCAGACTGGTAGGTGACAAGTAGGTGGATCACCTACTTGCCAAAAGAAGAGGCCTCAATTAAGTCGGCCAAGGGGGGACTTTTAAGGGATAATTAACTCATTTATTTCACACATATTTTAGACCATGAAAACCAGATTGAACCCCAGCAACTCCTTCCCAAAATTCCCACACAAACTCTAGGTTATTTCAGGTGTTACGATGTGACTCTAGTGCCGAAAACCCCGGACAGCTTGCTAGTTCCTCTTTCTCCTTCTTGTATCTGCATTAGGGGACTGATTTTCGATGAAGAAGGAATAGGTTTCGTGGGTTCTGCTCAGTCCAAGGTTGGGTTATGGTTCTCCTTCCAGTATCTATGCTTGTACGAGTTGTAACTTGATCGTAAAGACTAGACCTAGCGAGTTTCGAAAGAGTGGTATGTTGTTTGTTGTTGCATCACTATTGGCTGGTTGTGAAGTAATTTTTAAGTTGAATTCATGGCTGATTTACAGGATAACAGGCTTAATTATGTATTGTTGTTTGAGTTTCTCAATTTGAAAGAAAAGACAAGTTGAAACGTATTTTAGTAAACTGAAAAATCAGTTTTGAGTTGCTGAACTTGTGGGACTGCTTTGTGGGCTGCTTCGTGTTGCTTTTGGGCTGTCTATTTTGCTGATGTTTTATGGAGTTTTGAAGGATAAAAGGTGTGGAGAAACACCACATAATAGCGGAATGGTGGGCTGGTCATTCGTCGTTACATTTTTAGGTTGTTTGACACTACTTTTGTTGTCGTTTTATGTATGAAGTGATTAGGGTGTGTGGGTTGTTTTGTGATATATTGTGATGGACATAAGGTTGAAAAATAATGCATACATGTTGTTATTGTTTTGTTATTGTTGTTGTTGGTATATGGTATTGGAGGAGGGCCCTGTTACATGGGAGATGCTGCCCAAATTTACGTAAACAAGCTAAACATGTTGTGAACTTAGCCTTTACTCGGCACTGATTTTGAATCTGCTTATGTTGTGGTAGATTGAGTTGAGTTGTTTGAAGAATTCCTTGGAAGGTATTAAGGACTCAACAGAGTTAAGGTATGTTAAGGCTAAACCTTTCCTTCATTTTGGCATGATCTCATAACTACATGCGTTTGATAACGAGGCATAAAGAGAAGTTCTTATTCCTGAATTAATGTACATTATCCAAGTCTCATAAGCTACAGTATTCTCCCTTATCGAGACTTCATATTCATTTTAGTTTTGTCTTCTTTCAGCCAAGACAGCAGAGAGTCTATATATATATACACAGTATTACAGTATTTTCACCACCATCGAGCTATAATCGATGGGCAAGCCCCTATTGGGCAACCTCTGATCAGATTGTAAGTTATATATCGAGCCTACTGTGACCGAGCTCCTATGAGCGAGCCCAGAATGGCCGAGATACAGAGCCTAGTATGGTCGAGCGCCTATGAGCGAGCCTACTACGGCAGAGCAGTTACACATACAGAGCCTTATAAGGCCGGACAACTATTTTACTTACTATATTAAGACAGTTGAGTCAGTATCAGCAGGTAAGCATATCTTCAGATTATCTTTGACTCCCAGTTACTTTCAGTTATTATATTATCGATTCAGTTTCAGTTTCAGTTATTATGTTGCCTTACATACTCGGTACATTATTTCGTACTTACATCCCTTTTGCTGGGGACGCTACATTTCATGCCTGCAGGTCCTAATTGACAGTTGGATAGACCCTCCCAGCAGATAGAGTCAATCATCAGCTTGGTTGGTAAGCTCCACTTCCTCGGAGTTACCAGGTCTAGACCTCGGAGTCCATTTATATTTACAGGTTTGATGGGTAGGTCGAGGCCCTGTCCCGACCATGATACAGTTCAGTTATCCCTTGTAGACGAGTCTTGTACATTTTTTATATCAGTATTGTGGCTTTACCAGCCTATGTAGATGTTCAGTTTGGTATTGCTGGTTGTAGACGTTATTTTCAGATGATTCATAATATGGCCTCATCGGCCTAAGTTAAGGGTTACCCCTCCAGAGTTCACAGTTACGGAGTGGTACGCTCGGGCCGAGTATGGCACTGGGTGCCGGCCACGCCTCTTCAGGTTTGGGGCGTGACATTTCTTGTCGACCATACTAGAGATACAGAATGTAGGAAAAGAAATTTTCTTGGATTCACTTATAAGCTTTTAATTTCCCGGGAGCCTAAGAGTAATGGTAAAGTTGACTTCGTGTGATATGTAGGTCATAGGTTCGAGTTGCGGAAGCAACCATAAATACTTGCATTAGAGTTGGCTACCTACATCACATCCTTGGGAGGTGCGTCCCTTCTCCGAATTATAACGACCCGATAGGTCATTTATAGTTTTAACCCTCAATTTTGTGTTTCGAAACCTCAATTAGCTCCGTTTAGCTTTCCTTGATTTGTGTGCGCAGTCCGTGTCTTTTTTCGGAAGGTTTTTATGTGAAAAATTGATAAAAAATGTGAAATCGTACTTTATAACTCCTTTAAGTTTACTTCGGTCAACGTTTTGAGCAAACAGACTCGGATCAATATTTTGATGGTCCCGATTGGTCCGTATCATGATTTGGGACTTGGGCGTATGCCCAGAATCGAATACGAAAGTCCCTAGCTTGAATTATCGCCAATTGTTGAAAACTAGAAGTTTAAAGGTTTAAAGAATTCCTAAGTTTGACTGTAGGTTGACTTTAATGGTACCGGGTTCGGATTTCAGTTCCCGAACTTGGTATAGGTCCATTTCAGTAATTGTGACATGTTTGCAAAATTT